AAAAAAAAAAAAAAAACTGTTTCACGAATTGTTGCTGCAACTTTGCTGTAAATAATGAAAATAAAGTTTCTTTTTTTTGTAGGATTTTTGAATTTGCAAGTCAAGGTACTGAACGACTTAACTGGGTACAACTTTATGATTACATTGATGCTATCATAGTTTGTATATCGTTGTCGGCATACAATCAGATGAATGAAGAAGAAGCTTTTACGGTTAGTTTTAATGCAATTTTTATGTTTATGTAATCCACCGGAAAAAAAAAAAAAAGAAAATTGCTGTTTTTTTACCACAGTCTTATATCAACATAAATTTTTTTGTAAAATTAAAAAACTGATTTTTCCCTATCGTTTTTTTGCAAAGAATACTTTTTAGCGTTACAAATAACAGATGATATTTGATGTCAGATGTCAGTGTACATTAAATTTTTCAATTTTTTAATACTCTTGAAAATTACTCTTTTTTGTTGTTTTTTTTTCAGTCATATTTGGATGATTCGTTAAAACTTTTGGAAGAAATATGTGCACAACCCAAATTTGGTGATGCATTAATTTTTGTATTTTTAAATAAAGTGGACCTTTTTGCTGAAAAATTAAAAGAAGTACCGTTATGTGATTATATGAAAGAATATACCGGTGAGTTTTTGAATGATCACTTAATTATCTTGCTTTTTTTGTGTCTTCTGCTTCTCAGTGAATTGTTTTTCTTAGTTTAGACACAATAACTAATAGATGAATGTTATTGTGATGGTGTCAAAAAATTGTACTTCAATAGTTTTTAGGTTCATGCCGATTTGAAGATGCAAAAACATTTTTTGAACAATTAGTACGATCAAGAGTTTCGGAACGTAAGGAACCAATGAAAGTTGAATTTACCTGCTTTACAAATAATGAATTGACAAGGATAACAGTGGAAAAAATTTTTAAAACATTTGCGCAAAAAACTCAATAATTTTCTGTAAAACTTTTTATTATTTAATTATCATTCATTGAAAAAAAAATATATATATTTATTAGAGAAATTATCTTGTAAAATTTTGTTTAAAATTTTATATTTACTATATTTAAATATATAAA